AAATCTATTTTTTTTTATATAAAAGTATCTTTAATGCTTTAAAAATACGAAATGCATTATGACGCTTATTCTTCGCATTGACACGCCTAAACATGTAATTCTTGATTCTCGGCCTCGACGCTTCGCAACGCATTACGCATTTTAGAACACTGTGAATTACCAATACCAAAGATTAAATATAAATGTTCACATATTTCTGTAACAAACCACAAATTGATGTGCACGTCACGGATTTATTGTTTATGAGTTAAATGTAACTTAAAAAAATGTCATATGTCACATAGTCCACTGCAATGATCACATATTGCTCTCATTAGGTCACATAGTATACTACACAGGTCACAGTTTTTTCTGCACAGCTCACAGTTTACATAGTTCTCTATCCATAGGTCACGATCTACTAAATTGGTCACATATTACAATATCAAATTACATATTATGCTTCATATGTCACATGATATAAATTAGAGGTCACATAGGAATTACCAACACCATAGATTAAATATAAATGTTCACACGTGTTTATGAAGTGCTAACACGTTACAGATTCATTATTTACAAGTTAAATGTAACAATAAAGAGGTCACAGATGATATGCACAAATTAAAAGACATTGTGTACATCTCACTGATTCATGCGCACATATTATAAATCAATTTGTGATGAGAACCTTCAATTTGTGACCTAAATTGTTCGATTATTTTCAATATAACCAATTTTGAGACAACTAATTGATCAGAACCTCTAAACTATCGATATATATATACACACATCACACACCTAACTTTTGGATTTTAAAACTTAATGTCTGGAAATTGATTTTGTGCATACTTAATATCCGAGATATGATTTTTTTCCCCGGTACATATGTCTGCCCCATAATGCCCTCAATCCTATTTTTCAATCATTTTATTAAAGCAAAATCTAAAACCTAGCATTTTCAAAGCCGTGCAAGTCGCTCACTCTGTTCTTCATCTTAGCCAGCTTCTCAGCCGCTCTCCTAGCCGATGGCGGCGTTAGTGGCTCCTCACGCTCATCGACAAACAAACCCATTTCCCTCCCAATTACCCTCCGCTGTTGGATCATCATCATCGTCTGTTTCCATTTCAGCTCAGCCAGCTCAATATCCAGCTCTCTAACATACTCGCCGGCCGACTCTGATGTGCACTGTATCATTAGTGCACGAGCTGATGACAACAGCTGCATAGCGCTTGACACCTCATTGTGCTCAATCAATCGCCGAGACTCTACAATTGCGCGCACTGTAATGAAACGATTTTTTAGCCGTTGTTCAATAATGGGGGATCTTGATCCAATGGCATTATTTCGTGGCCTGGGTACCAGCAAGGGTTTCTCCCCACCGTAGATTAGTTCCTGAGTTGCTGGGTCCTTGTAACTGCATCTAACTGAAAGCATATGATAATGGTGTGAATGAGACCCAACAATTGGTACCTTCATCTCCACGAGATATTCTCTTTCCTCCTCGGCATAGAGATCGCCGACTAGAATGCAGTTTGAGTTCATCACTGTAGGACGCGCATGGCAGGAGTATATGGCCGAAATTTCGGCTGGATCTGAAACATGCCTGAAGCCGATTTGAATTTTCAAGTCTTGAACAACCACGCTCAATAGCCAACTAACGCATTTGGAAAAGGCGTCCGCGGCTGGCTTGGGGTTAAACCCAGATGAACGCACAGGAATTTCGACGTGAGCGAAACGAGTGGATGAAACCTGAGGCGATTCTCGCCGCTGGTGAGTACCGGCGGCGGCGGCCGCTGTGTTTTTGGTTTGAACACTGTTATCTTGACCGTCGGATAGTAAAATAATGCTTGCAACTGGGTTCTTATGCCGCCGATCGTCAAGAACTTTTGTGGCAGCTTTCAAGGCTTCACAGGCGCTTCTACCTTGGCTACAGACAAGCCGGTCGATGATGCTCCGAGCCAATCCTTGACCCTGAGCCGTCATTCTCCTCAGTGGCATGAGCCTATTCGGACTAGCCGCGAAGGTAATTATACAGAGCCGGTCAGCCGAGCCGAGAGAGGAAATAAGCAAACCCACGGCTCGTTTCAGCATCTGAAGCTTGGCTCCGCCCATGCTCTCACTTACATCAAGAACAGTAACCAAGTCAATAGGCGCACGTCGCGCTGGGTCCAGAACGTGGGTCTGTGGTGGCGGAGGCAGTGCAGGGGCTTTAACCTTCAAAACGACAGCGTACGTCTGGTGGGTTCTGCCCGCTGAAATAACAGCAGCCTCAGGCAATAAACTCACCTCCACATTTTGGCCATCTTTGTCTTGTAGGTAAGAACTATTGCTCGAAATGGTGTTGACGAAAAATCCCTGAAATTCTTCACCAGCAGAATCTTTCTCCTCATAAACAAACTTCGTAGAAGCTCTGGCTGAGGGTGAAACCAGTGGCTCATCATCATCAAATGCCCTTGTTTCTTGTTGGGGGATTTTTGGAGATTGTAGTATTCTATTATGTTTGGTTTCATCAAACTGTGTTTGTTCTTGAAGTTTATGGATATTGGCTAGTAAAGGGACATCTTTCCAGGTAGTATTGCAAACTGGGCAAATGAGGGAGTTTTGATTTCTAATGCGTGTGGCTATGCAAGGAAAATGGAAAGTGTGGGAGCATTCAGCTGTGTATATTGCCATGCCTTGGATTGTCTTCACACTTTGCATACACACTCCACAACTATTCTGCATATCCAAAAGCAAAAACATTAAATCAAAACCATATTGGACATAAATCATAAAATTTGAAGGTGAATAAGTATAAATTACGTAATCTTACTCTGGATAGGCGGAGCGTTTTCTTGAGGATGGAAAAGGGGGATCTTGGAGAAGATGGGGTGGAGCCAAAGCTTTTACATTTGCTATAAGATTTTGGGGTTGTTTTGCATTGAAGGAGTTTTGGACTAATGAGATCATCTTTGGTTGATGGAGTTTGAGCATAAATACCAACATTTTCATCTGTATTGTTATTAATACTGGTTTTGCAACGCAACCGAGGAGTAGAGGGATTGCTGCTTCCACGCGATTGAAAACCAAGCTTCGCATAGCTTCTGGAGGTGTTGAGAGTCGGGCTCGGGCTCTGCTCTTCTAAAGGAGTAGTAATGGCTTCTCTGCTGTCTCTTGGGATTGTTGTGCAAAAAGCTTTTCTCCAACCAGTTCCCATTTCTCAATATAGGATCTTGTAGAAGGAAAGAATTTGCAAAAATCTCAAGGTTCTTTAACCAACTATTGTAGTGTTTTGAAGAAGGGATGAGGATGAAAGGGGGATCAGAATATTAAGAAGGTAACATGGGAGATGATAGTCCTCTCCTTTTCCTTGATATACATACATGTGTGTTGTGTTTTGTGTTTATATTCTGTTGGTGTTTCTCTAAGTTGACCAAAATTAGTTCCAGCGTCTAAAAAGGCCTAGAGATCTGCTGCCTTTTCTCTTTCTCCGCACTGTCTCCTCCTCTCTGTATATTTGTTACATAAGTAGTAACAAAAGTGAATATTTATCTATGTACTTGTATTGTAGGTTAAAAACATGGTACCACTGTCACATATAATACTTTTGGTACTATTGTCACATATAATACTTTTGGTGCTTATGGATTTTAAAAACATTTGCTCGTTTGGTGGTATTTCAAGTGTTTATGAGCATGGTTATACACATGATGTGGATAATAAGTGGATTTTACACTATACATATGGAGCTACATGGTGCAGTTGTTCTTTCTCACTAGCAATATAATGATTGTTTCCTTGAAGGACAGTTGTCGAGTATTGAGCTCCTCTGAACTGGTCGTCTTACCTTGTTATGGGTAAGGACAACAGTTTCCATAAGGGAGAGTTCAAGCTCGATCTAGGCACTTTTCTCTCCAACTCCATCATGTCTTGCTTGAATCTTTGCGATTGGTGATTGATTAAAATTTGACGTTACACCATGTCCATATTAATTCATGAAAGCATCTCTAACGGGACAGTAGATTTAATTAAAAAATAAAAAAGGTGCTACATCACCCCAAAATGCTTACATAACAAGGAGACGGTGGATAATAAAAGTGTGCTAGACATGTCTCCCGGGGCATAACTCAGCGGTGCAAAGGACATGAGTAAGGTAATCTTAGCTGAACTGTCAGTCACAGTGTGAAAGTTCGATTTCTGCCTCTTACAAAGTATGAAATTGGACTATTTATGGGCACCAATATATCAACCTGCGATTTACCTCCTCCGCAATACTCTAGGGACGGGGCAGTGGAGGGCCCTAAAGGTTGGGGTTCAATCTTTATAAAAGTGTGTTAGACATCGTCTACTTAACATTCATAAATACTACCTACTTTTCCATTTATCATTTGTCAACAGTCTATACTACTTTTTAGCTTCTAGAGTCAGTAAATTCCTTAAAAGTTAATTCTAACAGCCCTTCTTAACCTAATATCATTATCTTAATCAAAGTTAGGCAATCCAACAACACTAACTGAATAATTTACTCATTTTTGTCCTTTCAATATAAATAATTTACCCTACTTTTACTCTCTGTCAGTTTCCTGAGGATAGGAAGTAGGAACCTAAAATTAATTACAATGACACCCAAACCACCACTGACATGATGAAGCAATCGAGAAACAATTAAGGAGTTTGTAACGGTGAAGTTATCTTTTTCAAACAAATTTAATTGTTGTTTAATTATGACCAGTAGAGTAGGGATGCCTAATTGCCTATAATTAAG